CTATTTTATCAGTCATTTGGAGATATGATGGCAAGAGTGCTTTCCCCTGTCAAAGATAAAATACACAAAAATAAATGCATGGTTATCCCCTTAAAAATACAATTCTATTGTTTTAGTAATTTTCACAACTGTTGGTGGAAAAATCCATTTTGTCTATAATAATAATAGAAACAAAGAATAAAATGAAGTTGACAGTGAACTTTTATATAGTTTTAAAACTATTTTAATTTTTTTCTAAGTATAAATTAATATTTAATACAAAATACTAACAAATATTCTTGTTGCTATGTATATACATGCACAACCATACTGTACAAGTGTACAACCATACACATCTAAGTCTTGAAGATTAATCTCTTGTTATGAGCAATTATGTAAAATATGACCTTTAATGGGGTTGTTGGAGAAGTAGTAAAACTCCTTAGAAATCTAATGAGTTAATACTTCTGCCATTTGTTTTAACTTAGATCTTTATGGCAGCTTAAAGAGTTTTAAAAATCAGAAAAATGAGGCAAAAGGAAACTAACTGCAGATAAGTAACATAGCATCAAGAGTATTATCAGCAAATATTTGCTATAAGTGATACTATATATATCAGGTCCAAACTACTTGATTTGTGTTTGTCTATAAGAATTCTATAGATACAAATTTACAGAGCAACAAAATCAAAACATATAAGTTAAAGAAAAAGTTAAGATGCAGAACTGTAAAGGCAGTAAAACTATGAATCCTGGAATGAAACAAAATTCCCTTTTTTAAATACCAGAAAACTATTTTAAAGTTTTCATTATACTGCAAAAAAATTTTTGATATTAAAAATCAATTAATATGCTTATCTTATTCCAAGGGATATTTAGCCCATGAAAATACATATACTTGTTTATTTTTAGTCCTTCAGAAAATTTTCATTGTACCTTTGACTATTCTCACAATGATCATATTTGTGATGAGAACATTTAGAGACACATTATTTAAAAAGTGCAAGGTCTTTTGGGATTGCTGGGTCACAGCAGCACAATTTACAATAGAATATTCACAATAATATTCACAATATTACACAATATGTAACCAGTTCAGGTACCCATCAACATATGAACAAATGGGGAAAATATGGTATATGTACAAAATGGAGTTTTATTCAGACATAAAGAAGAATGAAATTATGGCATTTGCTGGCAAATGGATGGAACTGGAGAACATCATGCTAAGTGAAATAAGCGAGACTCAAAAAGTCATGGCCTTAAAAAAAAAAAAAGTCATGGCCTTATGTTTTATCTCATATGTGGAAGCAATAGATAACTAAGGAACTAAAAAAATAGGGAAAGGGGGCGGGCAATGTCCCATGAAAATAGAACAGAGATCAGCGAAGTAGATAAAGGGTACAGAGGGAAGGGAGAAGGGATGGAAAAGGGAGGAACTGAGTGAAGAAACTGACCAAATTATGCTATGCACATGTATGAATAACCCACAGTGATTCCCACCTTTATGTGTGTCTATAGAGTACCAGTTAAAAATTAATAAAAATAAAAATGTATAAAATCAGATTATAATGCAGTTATATTTTATAACAGAACAAATCGCTTATAAAATAAGACATCCATTTGAAGATCAGCACATATTTTAACTGAGAAGCAGAAAAGTAGTGGAATTCTATGTAAAGAAGACCCAAGTATGAAAACCTAAGATTTTCAGATTACCAGCTTCAGAACTAGTTGCTACTACTATTCTTAATTTTTTCCCCCTAAGTCTTAAGTTTCAACTCTTCCATGGCAAAATCTACTGCACAAGAAAAGGAAAAATGAAAGAAAAACCCCAAAAGTTTGGCAATTGCTTTGATAACAAATGCACATATATTTATATATATGCATTTACCAATACACACACACACAATGCATATGTATGTGTATTTATCAATACAATATTTGTGTATATGTGTATTGGTAAATAGAGAAAAACTGTAATTTTGAGTTAGACTCAACCTCTTTAATAATTTTGACTTAACAGAAGTAAATATCATATGAAGATGGTGAAATAATGTTTTTTTTTACATTACAACTGAATTTTATCTGTAATTAGGAAGCACTTACAGTATATAAAGCAGAGTTCTAAAGAAAAGACAAGATCTGTAAGCCACATGGACCACACAACTATAAAGCTCATAGGAAGACCTGCTATCACATGTATCTAATTTTCTGTCTATGCATACACATTGAATCATGAAACTGACTTCAAACTTTAAACTGTTAAGACAATAATGCATTAATGCTATCTTTTAATTTCACTATAGGGCATAGAAGGGACATGACAGGAGGAGTAGATTGTATATAACAAGCCTATTTTTAAAAATGGTCTATATGTTTCCTTATATCTGGTTATTTCTAAAACTAAATGTATCAGAGTAAAAAAATCATGGTGAAATATTAACATCTAACAGAAATATACCTGAAAAATAGAATGATACAAATATVAACATTATTAATGGGAAAAGAGATTTAAATAAAGCAAAATAATTACAAGGAACCAATTTAATTTTCTTTAGTGTATTTTAAAAAACGATTAAGGCTCTTTACTTTTCTTCTAGGTCCATAACTCTTTTCAGATGAGGCAACAGTAGCAAATATTTATCCTCACATCATGAAAGGATTACAGAACCAAAAAGAAGGTTTGAGGTTTTTTTTTTTTTTTTTTTAAATAAATGAGTTTGAGTTTTCTACCTGATAAGCTTTGTGACTGATGCCATACACTAATGGATTTGCTCTCATCCGTACATAAAGGTAAGTGTAACTTATCCACTTTACTGCTTCTTCCACGTTTGTGACTGTTCCCAGAGCAATCTGCAAATCAAAAATACAACAGAAATTAAAGTAATGCATTAAAGTCAAACATAAACATTACAGCAAAGGCCATTCTGCCAGAAATTAAGTTTTCAAAATAGATCATTGTGCCACATTTGAAAGTAGGTAAGCACAATCATTGAAATGACTTCTCAGTTAACGAAAACAGCAGATTGAGACTAATACATTGGAAATGCTATCTTCCCAAACTGAACTTACTCAATGATGACATTTGGTTATTTTTCCCTGTATGGATTTTAATTCTACATAGCATTAAGGACATTCTTGACATTTGTTAATTCTTTTTCATATTCTGTATCCATTTTGTTTTAGTTTCATTTTATATAATAAAACTACTGAATATGTTTAAATGTAAGTGTACCAGAATAAAAATAACAAAATATGGGGCTGGGGTTGTAGGTAGAGTACTTGTCTAAGCACATGTGAGGCACTGGGCTTAACCCTCAGCACCACATAAAAAAATAAATAAAATGAATAAAGATTCAAAAATAAAACTCAACATTATTAAAAAAAATAACGAAATATTAATTCTGTCGATCTTTATCCTGATTCTGYGCACTGTCATCAATAAAACCATAGAAGGTACAATGGTAGTTTTTACCTTTAGAGATACTCATTTAGAGGACTGCCAGTATAAACATACAATATGCATATAATGGAAAATGCAATCATTTCTGCACAAAACAAAGCAAATTTATTGGTATTTAGACATATTAATATTTATGCTTTCAAAATCATACAAGAATAGGGTGTTTTTTTAAATTGGTAAACTTAAGCAATGGGAAAATATGATATTTAAACATTTGAACCAAAGTAATCATTGGATGATTGTTTAGATTATATTCAGAAAGGAAATATAATGTTTAATATAGCATTTGAAGTGATTTGTGATATATTTATTAAATAAAACCAAAGGTTAATAATTTAGAACACAACAATAAATATAAGATCTGTGTAATAAAGAGAAAGAAATGATTAGATAAGGATATTAATGCAGAATTTTAATGAGATGTATTCTTAAAGTAGTTCCTTAAGCAAGGGATTTATAGGAAGTAATTCTGCTTTTACTTAAAGTACCCTTTTTATTTTAAAAATTAACCAAAGTTGTGAAACTTGACAGCTATAAATCTGTTCCTGAACCTTTTTTTTTTTACTCACAGGAGGGGGGAAAAAAAGGAAAACAAATGCTGCACTTTTTGTAATAATATTGAAGAAAATAAAAATATTCATGTTTGATTTAATCCCTATATTATAATTTTTAATTCTATATAACTTTTTTTGTGAAATAAAAATGTAGATGGACTGGGAGTGGTACAGTACATGATTAGCATGCAGAAGGTCCTAGGTTCAATCCTGAGCACCAAACAAAACAAAATACAACAACACAAAAGTGTACACTTAAGTACATTGAAGATGAGATACAGCAGCATATAATTTTCACTGTAATATTACATCATAGTATTTGTTATTTAAAAAGTGGGACAACCAAAAGTAAAAATATGTAAGAAGATTCTGCCTATTTACTTCTAAATTTCCACTAGTTTACTTAAAAATGACCAAGCCATCCATACTATAGGTAAATAAGTACATTTCCTAAATCTAAACTGTAAGGCTTTTCAGAAAATGAAAAGCAGTAAGAATTAAAATTAAGCCAATAAGAGAGTTGTGTAGGATGTTTAAACAGTTTTTCCAGTCTGCTTAGGTAAATAAAACTAGTTTGATGATACGGATAAATAGCTGACAGTCTCACCTATTTCTGATTTTATTATTTGCAAGTCAAAAATGTATTGTCATATAACCCATATATTCCTTTATAGTGACCTATATTCCCTTATTACTTTATGTTATTACTTTAAAATAACAACCTATATTCATTCCCTTTTGACCTTATGATGCTCTTTTAAAATACTAYACAAATCTCAAGAGACAAAAATTTTATAAAGGACAATTTAAAAATCAGACTTAACAAATAAACATTAATAATTACCTATTGCTATTAGTTATAAGATTAGAAGARAAAGTAGGTATCAAAAATTAGATCATGTAATGGAAATCTTCTAAWAATTCATTAAAAGGGAAGAGATTATCCAGAAAAATAAATGTAAAGGTACACCTTATTTTGAGACTAATCCTTGAATGCCACCTAGTGACAAAATTAAAAATTTTCTTGAAAATATTTGCTGTCCCCTAGTGGCTATCTGATACAGGAGCCTTTCATAAAACAAGTATTTTTTCCATACTCCCCCTTTTTGAAATTTATTCCATAATCATAACAAGTCACTAAAAAGCCTGTATATTATTTAAGGTACAATGGATATGGTAACAAATAGTATGGTCCCTGACCTCACTTCTCTAGTCATGGAGGTGAGACATGTATAAGTAATTAAGATGACAAATAGAAGCCCAACATCCACAGAGTCTAGCACATACCAGATACTCAAAAATATAACATGTAAAAGTGGCATTAGTGTATAGTGTAATAAACTTTATTTTTCTTTAACAAAAATAAAATCCACTCCAAATTTGGTAGTTCAGAAATCAGACTCAAGTGTCACTTCATATTTATCTATTTAAACTTTAGTCTTTAAGGTTATCTTATTTATTTTTACTATATGTGTTTTAAAAAACTAGTTAAAACCATTCATATGGTTTCTATCAACTTTATATAGTTTTTAGAAACTAAATAAGCAAATATAATCATGTAATAGCTTCCTAGGGCAGAAGGCCTTTGTTGAGGAGTAATGGAAGTGGGAAGGGTAGTCAGACTGTGGAGGTTTTAACTCAAGAGCCAGTATATGTACAACGTCCTGAAGAGACAAGAACTCTTTGTACACAAAGAATGTATATGTTAGGATATAGAATAATTAACAAAGTTATAAAGTATGGAATATAGGGATTAGAACAGAATATACACTGAGCAACATGAATACATTTTAATTAGCCTGAAACACATATATCAGTGTTTCTCCCAGTGCAAAGTTAAGTGGCTCTTTATAGGAAAGCGATTTGTTACTTCTCAACTTTAGCATTATGAAGTCAGCCCCATTAGGCATCAATCAGCAAAGATGTCTCATAAAATGTWTGCATTAAATTATACTTCATAAAATATTTTCTCCAGTTTTTCTAAATTCATGGTCAAAATTGATATTCATGAAATCAAATATATTAATAAGGGCAACATTACTATCATAACATAACCTTTATGTTGATTAGTGATATTTTAGAGTCTTTCGAAGATTTTTTGCAGTCTAAGGACTTAAAAATCCATTATCTTAAGAATGCAGCACAGATTTATGTTATAAACCAATTTCACACTTGATGTGTACAGATGACTAAGTTTAATTTCACATTCAACTATAATTTAAAGGAGTTTGTTTCATTAACAGGAAAATTTACTCTAACAGGGAGCTCTTCCAGTAAACCACGATATAAGCAAGCTTAGCAATTGCTATACTTCATTATAGTAACTAAAAATTTCAATCTATATGTTTCATTATTTAAATGCCCTTTATATCACTAAATGGAATTGTGCTCAGAGTGTGTTGACATTTCTGAAAATGACATTTCTAGCAAGTACTTTAATTAATATGAGATGAACTTAAGGGCTATTTTTTTTTTATTGTTGGTCATTCAAAACATTACATAGTTCTTAATACATCATATTTCACAGTTTGATTCAAGTGGGTTATGAACTCCCAATTTTACCCCGTATACAGATTGCTGTATCACATCAGTTACCCTTCCATTGATTGACATATTGCCTTTCTAGTGTCTGATGTATTCTGCTGTCTGTCCTATTCTCTACTATCCCCTCCCCTCCCCTCCCCTCCCCTTTTCTCTCTCTACCCCTTCTACTGTAAATAATTTCTTCCATTTGTATTATCTTGTCTTACCCCTTGCGGACAGGACCCACAAGTAGGACAGGGCCGGCGGCTTGCTTAAGGGCTATTTTTATAGGGAGGGCTAGATCAAACAGTTTCACTGGTGCTACTTTTTTGTCCCCAGGGAAGAGTTCCCTGAGGACAAGAGCATTGTTTTACTTACTTTGTGTCTTCTGCATAAACACATCAACACATTGTGACTACCACTTACAAAAACTATCAAGAACTAATTCTAGGTTTGCTAAGATTTAGTATTCCTTGACATGCTCTTTAAGCTAAATTTTAGAAAAACAGGATTATTTTTTCTTTTTTACTGTAAATGTAAGAGAAATTATGGCTACCATTTTGGAAAATGTTTAGTTCAGGTTTTAGAAGAAAAGAAGGGAGAATCCTAATGTAGGGTAATGTATTTTTTTTTAACTTATTACATTTTTAATAAGATTACAGAAGTCTTAAGCAACAATAAAAAGATCTCCTTTAGAGCTAAATAGACCTCAGTTTGAATATTAGTTCTAAAAATTATACCTTAGTGACCTTGGGCAGTTACACATCTCTCTGAGGATAATATCTACTTAGCAGGTCTGACAGAATAAGAGAATGCACATGAAGCACCCAGCAGTCTCTAGCCTATGCTACTATTACCATCACTTTACAGTAATAGATTTTATCCCATTATAAACACTCTTGGCCCAGACCTAATTATTTACACTATGCAATCAGGGTAGGCAATGAGGACCAAAATTGAGCTATGATAATATTTTCTTTGGAGTCAAATTTTATTTTCTAATCTCTTTTTGTTGTCCTGTAATTTTATTAAGGCAAACCAGTGCTCTTCATGCTTTTTTTTCTTACTTTCAAACTTATATTCCAAAACTTATCTATCCTCTGAACTTAGACTAAGTTTACTATCATCATGAAAAAAGCTTTTTTTTTGATAGCCCCAGGTCAAACATATTTTCTCCCTCTACCAAGTACTTCTATGGAAGTTGTCATTTTCTTTCCATGTCTTTTTTTCTCCTTTTGGACTATATGCTTCTTAACAGAAGAACTACATAATGTAGAGTGTGTCTTTCATTCTCTATAAAGAGTCTTGTAAATAACCCAAATAGAATTTCTATAAGTTGTTTAAGAAATACTCCATATAGACTTGCACACAATAAGTAATATTTGATTGTGAATATGACTGTGAATATTCCATTCATTTATTCAATATTTACATCTTACCTAAATTACCTAAATTATCTGAGTTAACTTTAAAAAAAAGGATACTGAGGTAGGAAAGTGTTGAATACTTGTGCAGTCATTAAAAATGTCATGAAAACATTGCACTGAATTTTGAACATTCATTTGAAAGTTTGATATATATACTCTAAATTGTAAAAATGTTTAYTTTCTTTACCAGTTGAGATGTTACCTATGCTTTCCAGGTCCATTATTTAAATCCTATTATTAAAGTCTCCCCCCACACACTCCCACATGCCTGCACACACACATTTGAAATAAAAGATTATACTCTTACTCAATTTAGGCAATCACATTTTACATAACAAAGTTAATCAAATGACCTAATAAAGACAAGAAAGCTTCATAAAACTTAGAAAAACTTCATACAAATATTAATCATCAATTGAGCACTAAACATATCAGTTATTGCTATTTCTGTTTCCCTGATTTGTAAACTTTGGATTGGATTTCTAATCTATAGCAAAACCTTATAGATTGAAAGTGTGGGCATTTAGCAATGAGTTCCTGTCAGTATTGTTGTCTACATTTATACTGCTGTGAGTTAATCAACAATATTGCCACCCCACCCCCCTGCCTCTTTTGTCTTATGACGATATGGCATAATCTGTATCCCTAAATACTACAAAGTAAAAACCAACACAACCTTTATCGTTATTCTTAAAGCTGACGATTCTATCCCAACTTCTGACTGATCAGATCTTACCTCTGCATTTAGGTTATCTGCAAGACTTTCCAGAAACTGACTCTCAATTGGGTTTTGTTGAGTGAGGAGAGTGAGATAATGGCTGAGTTTATCATGTGTTGTTATAATGACTCCTTCCCCAAATTTGTCAAATTGTGGTCGTCCAGCTCGGCCAAATATCTGCATGACATCTAAAATTCCAAGGTCAATAAAGGAGCCTCTTTTTGCAGCATATATTTGTGTTCCCTAGATAAGGAAAAGTTAATAAAAATTAACATAAGTACACATAAATATAATCCTGAAGAGCTGAATACTGAAATTGGGCAAATACAGTAAGATCTCGAAAGTGTACTTTAACTAATCCCTTCATCATCTGTGATAGTTAMATTTTTACAATATAAACTGAATTTTATTGGAGAAAATATTTTTCCCTTATATAAATTAACATTCAATGTCAAAGAAACAGCTGAATCACAATATTTTTCTAAATAAATCAATTCATAGATTTGTTTTAACACACACACAAATCTGTATCAAAAGAAGGTAAGCTCCTACCTTAATAATAACAGCGTGAGCAGGGAGATTGACACCCCAGGCTAACGTAGCTGTACAGACTAGGACTTTGATATGACCATTGGAAAACAAGTTTTCAACTAAATTTCTGTCCTGCCGAAGCATTCCTGCATGATGAATACTAAAACCATCTGGGAATAACTCTCGTACTTGCTTATTTCTTGACTTTTGCACCTAGAATAGATAATCAACAAAACATAAAAACATTATTTAGCATTTAAAAGCAGTTTCTATTTAACATAGCTGCTAAAAGAGTTTATCAACAAAAGCATAAAATTAAGTATCCAAGGATGTGACTGAATCTTAGTATATAAGATCATGATACAAAATTCAAAAGAACATGATACAAAATTCAAAAGGAATGAAGTAAAAAGCAAGTGTCTCCTTTATCTAGCTGTCCTTTCTTGCAATTAATCAGTATTACCTGTTTATTATTCTTCCAAAAATACTATTTTAAAAATAAGCAAAAACCTGTGTCCCAACTCCCTATAAGGCTGGAGTCCTTACAATACAAGGGCCTAAAAATGTAATTCCTATAATTTAACCCCACCTACCTACACTACCCACCACAGCCTTGAAATCTCTTTTTTGACAAATCAAACCTCCTTTCTATTCCAGATCCACTACCTAGAAGACTTGCTTCTGTTACTCAGATGCTTCCATGGTCTTGATCATTGTGATGAGTCAATACACCCAACACTGTTCACCTACAGCTTTGTTTATGGTGAGCTTTGATGGGATAGAAATGACCACCTGTCCTGGATCCTCAACTTTGCAATTAGCTGCATGTACTGATTTCACTTATGGTGTCTGTTCTTTGGCCTGGTCTGAGCTCAGATATGGGATTTGGTACACTTACCTGCAATATGTATAAGTGCTACAGCAGAAGATCCAAAAAATTTCAATAAAGACTTACTGTATACTAGAGAACACATTTTTGGAAAATTAAAAATTACAGATAAACATTTAAAAAATGTTTATACAGACAAAGCTTCTTTTGGGTATCATGCTATGTGCTAGTTATTATTCTGAAAAAAATCTCATTATCAACAATTGAAGAGCTTTAAGAACATTTTCCCCCATACTTTTATGTAAGAAACACTGTATCAGCAGGGAGTGAGATTTCAGTAAGACTAGAATTCTAGTCCAGATTACGCTACACTGATTATCTAACTCTCAGGTTACTTACAATTTTAAACTTCTAAGATAATTATACTAATTAACTACGAAAGATCTAAGAAAATCGCTCCCACTCCATGAAATTGGTTTCAATTCTAAAGCTGAGGGAAGGGTAAAACTTTTAGCAAACCACACCATCTAGTGGCTAGCTAAATAAATAACAACTTGCACATTTTAAGCCTTAAATTCAAAACAAAATACACACATATGTAACAAAGACTATCCAGACTATCCCCTTTCAAATTCAAAAGAAGCATATTCTTGTTTTATTTTGGTGCAATGTAGTCAGCCTGTAGAAATCATTTTATCACACACTTTACAACCAACTACACTAACTGAATCAGCCTTTATCTTTTCAGACAAGCAATATTCTTATGGTCAATATTCCTACAATCACTTCTGACGAATAAGGAAAGACCTTGGGATGAAGTCTGTTGTGGAGTGTTTGCTAAGAAATAACAGCTCCTTTACATGCCAAAGGAAGGGATAGAAGACACTTCACCTATTTAATTTCTAATATTTAAGAACAGAGCTCAAAGGGAAAGAATATGTTTGGAGATGTTCTGTACAAACCATATTGGTGAACTGCTGTTTGTTTCAGGTAAAGTCTAAATATCCTGTATTGAAATATACTAATAATATATGTGCTATATTATATCTAGATTCCTTGAATAAACCCCAGTTAACATAGGACTTGGTGAAGACTGCTGGGGTACCAAGGCACAGGAAAAAAATTAAACACTGGAAGTATGTAACTGCAGTAAGAATTTTCTCAGAAGGTGAATGTGTTCACACAGTACCTTCTACTCCAACCACGAGGGTTGTACACTTAACCCAATGGGTATACACCTCTGGTCTCTGTGAGGACCTAGGAAACACTTAACAGACACTTCTCTTATCTCTATTCTTATATATTCTGGACATTCTTTTTTATTAGTTCAACAGAGACCTGATGTGACAAAAGTCTTAAAAACAGGTGTAGGTTTTTTACTATTAGTGTTTGAATCTGAATTTTTCATGTGGTCTGCCATAGCTCACAGTATAAATGAATTGTAATCTTTGGGGAAGAAGTCTAAGGATATATACTTTTAAAAATCTTATTTTAAAAATTATCATCTGGCAAAGCTACTTTTGGCATACAGTTCTATGAATTATAACATATGTATCAATATGTATAATTACTACCATTATCAAGATATAAAACTCCTTTGTACCATTTATTTATAAAAGCCCTCCCTACCTACAGTCTGTGGTAGCCACTGATCTGTTCTTCATCCCTAAAGTTCTGTCACTTCAAGAATGTTATAGTGTTATATATTGAATTAAACAGTATATATGCTTTTTGGACAGGTTTCTTTCACTCAGCTTCATGCCTTTTAAGAGTCATCCAAGTTGTTGCACACATATTAATAATCCATTCCTTTTTAATGCCAAATCATATTCAATAGTATCAATAGGCATATCAGTTTCATAATATAATCTCTCACTGAATGACATTGAGTAAGTTTATAGTTTACAGTTTGGGTAATTATAAATAGAACGTCTATGAACATTGAGGTGTGTGTGTGTGTGTGTGTGTGTGTGTGTGTGTGTGTGTGTGTCTATGTTTTCATGTTTAAATGTAATCACCAGTAATGGAGCAGATGGGTCATATGGTAAACGCTATGTTTAACTATATACAAACTGGCAAACCATTTCCAGAGTGGCTAATTTATTATATCAGCAAAAAACAAGAGTTACAGTTACTTCGAATGTTTGTCTGCACTTGACAACATCATTATTTTTCATTTTAGCCATACTAATGAGTATGGTAGTACCAGACCACGGTTTTAATATTAAACATCTTTCCATGTCCTTGAATGTACATATATATAACCTCCTCAAATTTCATTATTATCATTATTTTGGGTGGGTACTGGGAATTGAACTCTGGAGCCAAATTCCCAGCCATATTTTGTATTTTATTTAGAGACAGGAACTTTTGCTGATACTGGCTTTGACCTTGTGATCCTCCTGTCTCAGCCTCCCAAGGTGCTGGGATTGCAGGCATGTGCCACTGCACCCAACTCAAATTATTTGAATGCAAAAAAATGTTTATATATATATATATAGTTGTTGATAGACTTTTATATGCTTTTATTTTATCTATTTATATGCAGTGCTGAGAATTGAACCCAGTGCTTCACATATGTCAGGCAAGTATGCTACTGAGGACCCCAGCCCCAGCCCCAAGGATCAGTTTTTATAGGAAGATTTCTGTGGTAATATTTTGATCCATCTCTGCACAATACCACCATATAATTTGATTGACCTTATAAGAGATTATTTCAGCTAAGCAGTCTCATATTCATTACTGCATTAAATTATTTACATTCTTAAGAAAAAGTACTTCATAACAAACACAAAAGTGACTAAGGGAAAAAATGCACTTTAAAGAATCAAAGGAGACCTCGCCTGCACACTCCTGGAGCCATCCTATCTCCTCGAATCTAGCGAGACAGCGCACCGACAGAGCAGACATGGGCAGAAACATAGTGGCCAGTCTGGAGCTGGGGCTGCTGCTTCTGGCACTGCTCCTACCCACCAAGATTTATTCAAACCAAACAGCTGTTGTGACACTTTCAAGTAACTCCTCACAGAGTACCTCTCCTGCTCCCAGTTCAACTAATGCTACACCCAACACAGGTGGCAGTGCCCTGCAGTCAACAGCCAGTCTGCTTGTGATCATGCTCTCTCTTCTACATCTCTACTGTTAGAGACTCAGGCAGGCCAAGAAACATCTCTACTTCCCCATCTTCTAAACCCAATCTGAAATAGCAACTAGACGTCCGGTGTGTCAAGGAAGAAGCAGGTCTGCATCAAATCTACCAATTCCACACCTGATTTTATTGACATAGAAAATGTTGAGAATTCCAAATTGATTGGTTTGAAGGACATGTGAAGGGTTTCATAAGTGATGAATGCCAATATTAAATCTGCTAGAGTTTCACATACAAGATAAAAAGAGATAACATCTAAAATTGAGACACGATTTCCTGAATGAGGCATAAGAAATACGGACACTTAAGACTCTACATTGAAAACAAGAATAGATTTTATCTAGACATAAAGGATGGAATGTGGAATGGAGACTTCAGTTTTCATTTGGTTCATGAAATCTATAAGGCCATAAAACAGGTAATATAAAAAGCTTCCATGATTCTATTTATATGTACAATAGAGGGAACTTCCAGGTGTTACTGTAAATCCTCAATGTATCATTTCAGCAGTACTAATTTAATGCTGATATATTCTAGATAAAGTTTCAAATTGTTAAACTATTTCTGTTCCTTTGGGAACTGAACTCTTTCCTCTGTGGTTTTTGGTTTTGACATTATGTTTGGACTTTCATGTAGTAATTGACATGTGCCAGGGCAATGATAGTTTGGAATTCACCTCAAATCCAGGCCTCATGAGTAAGTCTTGCTTATCCTCACAAAGTCAAACGGTAGGTATCTCCCATCTCTTGTTTTCATTCAACAAGAGTGCCAGATTCCTTTAGCTAAACTGATTCCAAAGAGTAGAACTGCATTGACCTCAACTAATTTCAAAATGCTGCTTTTTTTTTTCCTGCATTTGTTGAATACCTTTCACAATTAAAAATGGTCAGCTTTGAAGGTAGAATGGCAAATCTTGAAATTAGAAAGGCAACTATGTGAAGAAGCCAAATTTATAAATCAGCATTTGAGAAGTGCATATTAAATTCACAAAAACTTTTATATTTTTTCTGTAAATACCTTTTTTTAAAAAAAACTATGGATCAGAATAGCCACGTTTAGAATACTTTCTGTTATCAGTCAATATTTTTAAGTAGTTAGAACCTGATTTTATGCTTAAAAGCAGTCTTGATCCTCTAATCTTTTACAACTGCCTTGATACACAGAAACCTTTTGAAAAATTCACACTCCCTGAAATCTTTTGTTTGCGTGGTCACATATTGATGCTTAAATGTTCCA